AAAAAAAAAATTGATGCAAGCAAATTTGCTTGTATTACAATCTAAGGGATAGAGTCTGTCTTTATTATATTCTAATACCTTCTTCTTATTAAGATTGTTAATTTGTTTTCTTACCTATTTAAACTTTTGTTAGCTTTAAGTTTGCTCATTTGTCTTTTTATCTTTCTGAAGCTTGATAACCTTAAGTTCGCTAATTTGTTTTCTTGCTTTTGAATGCCTTTCTGATTGTAATTCTGATATAAAAAAATAGAATAGATGTAAATTTTTCAGAATAGATATAAATTTTTTTAGATTAGATATAAAAAAATCATGTTAGGCTATTTTCTAAAGGTTTTGACAAAGTAAATTTTTTCGAAAAAGATTAGTATAAAGGCAAAGCCTTCTCATTTTGTAAGTCAAATCTTTTGTCTAGTAGCTATAGCCCTATCTTAAAATTTATAAGAATATGCATTCATTACAATATTCTCTTTCTTCTAATCCAATTGGGATAAAACATTCTTGATAGAGTAAGATATTAAGTTTTGTAAGCTGTTCTTTATATCTATTCATAAGTTGCTCATAAATAAAGGAATGGTTTAAATTTTTCTAAGCAATCTGATTTCTGAATTCTTGTACCATAGTCCTATTTTAAAGCCTATTAATATACTAGGTTATATAATAACTGTTAGCATGTTTTCTACAAAGGCTAGGTTCAGAACTTGTTGGCTTGCTACAAACCCTGTAGGAAATATGCTTCTTAGTCTTCCAATATTCAAAGCACTCTTCAGGCTGATGGCAGGTTTACCCACAAACAACTTCAGTTTTGAGTAAATAGTTGCAAGAATATTTACCTATTATGATAAGAATAAATATTTATTTTAAACAAAAGTTTTTGCTATATTAATACAAAAACTATATTTAATACTTGCACAAGATAATTAACCACAAAAATATGAATTAGCTTTAATTAGAATAATTAAAGTTGCATATAGTCAAGGTACCAAAAAATATAATAAATTAGAAGCATTATATATAAACTATCTTAAAACTTTATAGTGAAAAAGAGATCCAGAAGATTATATTAGATATGTAGCAAAGCAATGCACTCCAAATGAGAAAATCTATAATGAAAGAATGACAGATTTTAAAGATTAGTACAATGAAGAGATATATACTAGTTTAGGAAAGTTATATAAATTATATTTAAAAATAGCTAATTAAGAAGAAAAAGTATAAAAGTGAACAAAATTACAAGTAAATGAAATTCTTCAAAAAATACATGGTTTGAAAATTTAAAAATTAATATATATTAAAGATACCAACTTCATTATTAATTTCATAATATCCATTTGGATGGATATTTAATCATATTAACTTTCATTAATTGTTTATAAACAAATGATCTTTCAGGTTCATTGTTATTTTCATCTATAATCTAGTACAATACTGGTTGATTTTTTTGTATTAAGGATTCTTTAATATGATAAACTTTTGGAGACCAATTACAATCAGTTACACAATGTCTTTTACCTTCTAACTCACCTGGTTCAAGTAAGTATCTTACTAAAATATTATAAGATAATCAAGGTTCATCAAATCCAACAGAACTATTGTGAGGTAAAGAAGGCATAGTACTAACCTATTTCTTTTGAATAGCTTTTGCAGAAGTCATTTTAAAAAGTTGAGTTACAGAATTATTAAGTTCTTTAACAATAATTGGAAGATTCTTCACCCAAACTTTAGACTTTTCAGATATTGGCAATAGCAAATCTAACACATCTTGTATTCGAAATAATCTCTCTGCCAAGGTTCGGTTATATCTTTTAACAATACCTATACTACGTTTAGAATTAGCCTTCTGAATTTTTACATCATGCCTTTTCATCAGTCTCTCACAATCTCTTCTAAATTCTGAGCCCTTATCTGTTAATAATAATTTAAGATAAATAAGTAGACATGTTGGATCATTATAGATATTTTTAAATGTCTTAGCAATAATATTGGAAGTTAAAATATTTTTTAGGCTCGAAGAGCTATTGCTTCACAATAGATTAACATCTTTAGCTTTTAGCTGACTTATGTCAATATTAGGAATAATACCTCTAATTGGAATTAATACTTTATTTTTATTTTATATTTTTTGATATTAAGGTGATCTCTTTGGTAGAATTAATACTTTATATCTATTTGCTATATCTATTACATTAAGAGAAAACATATAGGTTATTTTTTCAATTTTATCATAAGGCATATAGAAAATATCAGCTTGATGATATTCATTAGGAATTTAAATCGTATTAAATAAAACTCGAGAAATATACCTTAAAGATGGCTTGTGAATCTGAAAATGTCTTGCTTATTTAACCATTTATATATCTCAGCTAATGAAAAATTATGTTTAGCCCTTCTATATGCATTATGCATTTTTTTAGCAGTCTGATAATAACCTTCAGTTCTATAATAAATTTTTTGCAAACTAATCTCCTTATCCAAATCATGAACCCTTTGTGGGTCAATATAAATTACAGGTTTCTTCATTCTTTTGTTTTATTATAGTAATAAAAAACATGAAGGAGTTACAACAAACTAACTAGAAACTCTATAAGGTGGTATCACAATTAGCTAAATTAAATAGAAATTTCAAACAATGGCTATATACCTTAGAAAGAGTTATAGGTATATGCAAAGAAAGGATATGATATCTTGAAGAAGAGTTAAATAATGCTATTGAGCTTTCTAGACAAGACAAAGAAGAATTATTAGAAAAAATCTCAAAACTCAAAAGAATCATTCATCAACTTGAGGAAAAAAATAAAAAAAAAGATAAGGAGATTTCTAATAAGGATAAGTTAATATCAGAATTCAATGAATAAGAGACAAAATTAAAAATCAGAATTCATGAAATATTAAAATCAGCTGACAATACTCCTAAAGTACAAGATTATACAACAAGATTAGTGAATAAAAATGAGTAACTTAAATAAGAAATAAATACAATAAAAACTAACCAAATAAATAGGATTAACAAAATAACCTAGCAAAAAAATCATATTACTGACCTTCTTTGTCAGAATTTTGCTTTAGTATTATTAAGATATCAAGATAGATTAGAACTTACAAATACACAAGAAGCTTTACAAAATGCACAGGCATGAAATTTTAATATAAATGAATCTGATTTTGATTCTGATAAAAATTCTCCAGACTTATATAATTCTGATGATAATATGGTAACAATAGCTGAATTGGCTAATGCTATAAACCAATTCCTAAATAATACAGTAATATGTAGAACTGTTTTAACAAATCAAATTAAAAGATCAACAAGATCAATCTGACATAAATACACTAAC